TGTTCCTCGAGAAATTCTGCGTTCCCTAACAAATCTTTAACGTTCTCACGAGAAACTTTGTATTTCCTTCACAAAACTTTTGAGTTCTTCTGAGAAACGTTTGCGTTTCCTCACAAAAACCTTTGCGTTTCATCACAAAACTTTTGTTCTCTCAAGAATCTTTGCGTTTCCTCACAAAACGTTTGCGTTCCCTTACAAAATAAATAGTCATAATTATGACATATAGTGCTGAAATTATGAAATAATAGTTATATCTATTTAAAAAAGGTGAGATCGACATACTAAATCACAATCATTGTATAAATTGACATAATAAAAGTCTTATTATGACTTTTTAATCAATTGCGACGATTTAGTTGTGTTTTTTATATCTATATCATATTTGCAAAATGTATCATTTTTATTTCAAAGTCATTCTGCATAAAGACATGTTCTCCTATTGCATATATCTAATGGTTTCAAGCAATATTTTTGCATTGTTGATTCATTTTTTAAATCTGTGTAAATCCGAATTTAAGTATGTATATGCACTTTTATCACTATTTCAACAAAACATCACACAATAATATTGTAAGATCCTTGTTATGATACTTTTATGGTACATTTTGGTAGTTTTTGCTTTTCTGTTCTCATCATTTCCACTGCATAGAAGAACAGAGATTGTGTAAAATAATGGAAACGTGAGTGTGAGTAAATATTAGGCTAATACTTTTATGTGAAGTATCTCTTAAGCAAGCCTTTTAACTTCTAGCTATAATGTGCTTTTGACTGATCTGAGACTCGGATAGTTAGTAGTGTTTACTTTAGTATCACAAAGACCAACAAAGCCTCATTGTGTGCTAATTCCCCGTCAACCTTGTACGAACGTTTAGTTGTTTTGTGTCACATCTTTACACAATTTTTTGCTTTCCAGCTCATTATTTTTCATAATGATCGCCTCCCAAACCACTGAAATTGAAAGGAGCCACAGAATTGAAACCACAGACGTTTTATTTCCAGTTCTTTCTGACCGTGTCCTCCCAGTTCTGCCCGTGACTCAATGGACTCCCTGCGGTTGAAGTCCTTTCCATGGAACAATGAAGAGGAAATTTACGTTTTGCCCATTAAAACACACTGAACAGGGCTGGAGTGTTTTTATGCTCTGGCCGTATTGAGTTTCCTCGCATCTGATTGGACGAGGTCAAAGAGTCTCCGCTTGATGTGGAGGGCAAACCCTACATGACTTCTTTCTGGCCGACGCTGTTTTTGTCCCTTACGAGTCCCAGACACAACAGAAGAGCGCTTTAACCTCTCGACTGCGAAGTGCACAACACAAAGACGGCTGAGGTCACACACCTGCGCCTCACGAGACCTCAAAGCACGGGTGCAGGTGTCTTCCTGTTTTCATCATGTGCGTTTAATCCCGGTTTGCTTTTGTTGTTTTAAAAGGTTTGATTGTATTGGTCTATGCATCCGTTCCGGTGGAACCAGTTCATGTGCAAATGTCAGTTTGGCCTTTTTAATCACTTAAAAAATTGCTGAAGGAGGGTGTGCTGGATATTTTATTGCTTAGATTTTGCTCTTTCATGGATCACGAGATTCATTTTGCATTTAAGTGTCACATTTGTAAGGAGCCCTTAAAAGGACATGGTGATGGAAACAGTGTGTCAGTGTGGCTGCTTTCCCTCACAAATGTTTTGCGTTGCCTGAGAAACTTGCGTGTCCTCACAAAAATTTTGCGTTCTCCTGAGAAACTTTGCATTTCCTCAGAAAACTTTTGCATTTCCTCACGAAATTTTTGCGTTCCCCGAGAAATTCTGCGTTCCCTAACAAATCTTTAACAAAATCCCTAACAAAACTTTGCATTTCCTCACGAAACTTTTGCATTTCCTCATAAAACTTTTGCATTTCCTCACGAAATTTTTGCGTTCCTCGAGAAATTCTGCGTTCCCTAACAAATCTTTAACGTTCTCACAAGAAACTTTGTTTTCTCGTGAAATTTTTGCGTTTCATCACAAAACTTTTGCATTTCCTCACAAAACTTTTTCATTTCCTCAAGAAACTTTTGCGTTCCCTCAAAAAACTTTTGCGTTCCCTCAAGAAACTTTTGCGTTTTCTCGCAAAACTTTTGCGTTCCCTCTCGAAACTTTTGCGTTCCCTCAAGAAACTTTTGCTTTTTCTCGCAAAACTTTTGCGTTCCCTCAAGAAACTTTTGCGTTCCCTGAAAAATTCTGCGTTCTCTCACAAATCTATAACATTCTCACAAGAAACTTTGTTTCCCTCATAAAACTTTTGCGTTGCGTTGAGAAACTTTGCGTCCTCACAAAACTTTTGCTTTCTCCTAAGAAACTTTGCGTTTCCTCACAATACTTCTGCGTTTCTCACGAAACTTTTGCGTTCACTCACAAATCTTTAACGTTCTCACGAGAAATGTTGCGTTTCCTTCATGAAACTTTTGCGTTCTCCCAAGAATATTTGCATTTGCTTGCAAAAATTTGTTCCCTCACAAAACTTTTGTGTTCCCTCAAGAAACTTTGCGTGTCCTCACAAAACTTTTGCATTCCCTCTCTTAAACTTTCCTCACAAAAATGTTCCCTCTCACAACTTTGCGTTGACATTCCACCCATCTCATATTTTTTTCCTTCACCATGTCCCACCTTGCAATACATAAATAAATCAGAAATCACAATTCTAGAGACTTTCTTTCTTGATATCTTGAGTTTACGTCTAGCAAATGTTTATTTACTTTTGTTCAATCACGAATAAGCCAACCGAAGAAATATTTCAAATAAGTGACTGTGCTTTGCGAATTTCATCCGGAAATAGTCAGCAACTATACTGTATTTTAGTATTGACCTCATGAATAGCATTTCTGGAAGGATTGAGTTCATATTGAGATTAATCTTTTGATTGCAGACTTTGAAGAATCTTTTGCAATGTTTTTAAAGGAGGCGAATGGCACAGGCCCGCTGTTTTGCCTCGATTCGACCCGACTGGGCACGGAGCGCTGAACCTGTCAGTTTCTAATTGCATTTCATAAAGGTCAAGTCGTAACATCCGCACTTGGATTGGAAACTCCACGAAATTCCCTCTGTCTGTCCAAAACGCCGGTGTTTGTTGCTCGATCTCGGCGGTAAAGACGCTCTCGGGCAGATCAACTGATGCCACATGAATAAACACACGTTGTGCTATGCTTGGCACACTCAAACCAGCCATTAAAATATCACGTGGCTTTTTTCTCGCCTCTTTTGGCGAGTGTCAGAACAATGTCGTGGATGAGAGAGTCGAGTGAAGAGTGACGTACCCACACTTACAATGTTTCTGTCATGCAAATTAAATTTGACATTTGTATAGCTGCATGTTGTTGATTTGTGTGGAACAGCAAACAAAAAGCATAATTGTGATTAGATGATTTTGAAAACGAGACGTTGGAGAGTTAATGAAGTAAAACAGAAATAGTCTAGCAGTGAGGAGCACCTGTGCCTCTCGCCACTCCCACTGTCAGTTTGTGTTTGAGTCAGCGCTGTGACTAACCGTTGGCATGTGTGTGTGTGTGTTTCATTCAGACGGGTAAATGACACGAATGCCTGCTTGCCAAACCTAGTCAAGAAAGGTCACGCAGGGCGTGGACGTCAAATCATTTTTATTTCTTCTTGCATATCTAAAGGATTGTATTCTCTGGAATGGCTAAAAGTATGTTTTTGAATATAAAATTGCATTAGCATTCAGTGCATTTTTACAGGAAAAAAAAATTATCATTTTTGTTTGAGATACACACATCACATCACCTGCAAAACTCTTAACACACGCTCAAAACCCTCACCGAGATAACACACACTATCACTCAGAACACACTGAGAGTAAAAACACCAGCATCAAACACCAATACAGAAAATACTACCTTTTCATCTTTAGTTTCAGTGACTTCATATGATACAAAGTAATATGTTCTTCAACGAAAAGACTGACGTTCTTTCACATGATTTATTTAAAATTTTAGAACGTAACAATTCTTTAAGGTAAATGAAAATTAGCAGTTTGCTTCAATAGTCTGTAGTAATTTATGGAATTACAGTAATTACTGAATTACTAAAAATACTGTAATTCAAACAAATAACTGAGAGGTTAATCCTGCCTCTCTCCAGCATCAGGACACCTAGTGTTAACCTAGTGTTGGCCAGTTAAAGTTTGGGTCATTTCTACTTAAGTTGAATACTTTGTCTCAAGCATATTTTACACAATGCTTTTAAAGTGAATACACTTTACTTAGAAGAACATCTGTGTAGACTGTAAAAAGTGAGGAAACCCACTGCCTTACAATTATTAAGTACATAAAAAATTAAGGGTAACACTTTACAATAAGTATATTAGTACAATATGTGAACAATACTTCTTCAGCATTTATTAATCTTAGTTAATATTAATTCCAACATTTACTAATACGTTATTAAAACCAAAGGTTGTATTAGTTAACATTAGTTAATGGACTGTGAACTAACATGAACGCACAATGAACAGCTGTATTTGTATTAACTAACATTAACAAAGATTAATAAACACTGTAACTAATGCATTGCTCATCGTTAGTTAATGCATTTACTAATGTTAACTAATGAACCTTATTGTAAAGTGTTGCCAAATTAAGTTATGTGGAATTTTCACGTTTTTTTTTTTAATTACACATGAAGTTTATTCACCTGATAATTTTTAGTTAGTAGGGTTCCTCACTTAAATGTATTTTTTAAGTTGTCAACGGATCACTTTTTACTGTGTATCTTATAAAAGTAATGTGGTTACTAAACCTAGCAACAAAAGCAACGATAAAACAGTGAAAATGCAACATTATTAATTATTACTGGAAACACCCGTATCAGAAAGTTTAATATTTACTCTTTAATTTCTACAAACCTTGAGCACTAATATAGAATTCTTATTCAGGTAGAAATAAAAACTATTTATTTAATTCACCCCACAGGTTGCACTTTGACGGATTATTATATAATGTTCAAATAAGACAGATGTGGGTTGAAATAATTTAATTATCTTTTAATTGATTGCAGCACATTGTATAACCACACATAACAAAAAAGCACTTATCAAATATTTTAATCAGGCTCAGTTGGCAACCTTTTACAATTTGTTAAAATAATATTACAACAAAATAAAAAACAGAAAGAAAGCTACCAAAAAAAAGGCATTTACAAAAATAATGACTCAAACCTTGACTTTTAATTTCGAAAAAAAAAGCTTGATATAAATAAGTTAGTTTTAATTTTCTCAGTGTTTTTACAAAGTTATGTACACAAATACACAGGCAGTGTAAATTGTTCAAATATTAATATTTACTTTCTCTATAAATACAGTCATGCATCAGGTTTCACCACAGAATCTATATTTGTAGAGTGTTTTAGATGCATTCGGTTCGTTTAATTTCTGCAGTGAAAAAACAAGGCAAAATCAAGGGTGATCGAGTCAAAGTCAAAAAAATATCAGTAGAAAATTTCACTCAAATTATAGATGATCGAGAAACATCTTAAAAAAGAAATAATTTACGAGGGTGAGAGATGTTTCTCCTCCGTGGAAGTGCCTGATAGTAATACTGGTCGATGCTACAAAGGTTTGACCTCAGAGTTTGAACTTTTACATCACCTTAAAAAAAAAAAAACAGGCTGAGATGTTCAGATCCAACCGGATCCCTTCAATAAGAACTGGTATTTTGTGTACCTCATCTGAAAAATGATTATTTTATTTTTTTTACACACCACCAATATGAAAACAGGCACACCGTCTTCAAAACGTCAAATAATAAACAGCATTTCGGAAATAATCTACACACGGCAATGGCGGCTCTTCAAGTCAAACCAAACTCACACCTCAAAAAAAAAAAAATAGATTTTTCAAACATAATACTAATTATGTGCTACATATGAAAAGGAACAAATATATATTTATATACACAGGTAGTAAGAAAAAAAAATGAGCAAAAAAGGAAATTAAACCTAATTGCACACTGCTACATACACCGCGTTCAGACGCAGTTGCTTTTTTTTTTTTCTTGAGTGCCAGAACTTTAGTGTTTCTGTTTCAGTGCTTGAAAAAAATCTTTCGTTCACCAAGCAAGCACTGAGGTCATCAAACGGCGGACGACATCTGTCAGGAAACATCAGAGAACACACGTTATTGTTCAGAAACATCTTCATACATGCGTTAAATCAACAGAAAACATCTTACATCAGACGTATAAAATGCGTTTTTAATAAAGATTACGCAACTTTACGATTTTGGGTCTTGGGGGGTCATTCACTTAATTTATTTTCTGAACTATAAATACTTTAATGTGCTTATGCGATATTGACTGCACCACAAACCAGACTGTAACCCGCAGAAATCTGAATGAAACTTGTGGAGGAAAAAAAAAAAAAAAAAAACACACACTGGAAAATGAGATCATGAAACGTTTCGAGTCCCACCAAAGCAAAACACTCTTCATTGCTAATGTTATGACTTTACAAATGTGCCGCGACCGACTGTTATTTGCTCATTGACTAGCGGCCCAGTGACATATCGATTTGGCTGGACGTTTCCTCACATGACCAACCGAGTAACATCATCCTACGGTTACATCAGATTTCTGGACTCGCTCGATCGCCAGGTGTTCCACCTAGACCTGAAACCTGCACTTTAACACAACTAGCTCACACTTGCATTTACATTAATCATGTTTACATGCAATTTTTAAGAGTTGCATGCATGCATATAATAATAATAATAAACGTCGTTCAGGTGAGAACACACACTCATGAGATGAGTGAACACACTGCTGACGTGTAAGATGTTTTTCGCTCTGAAGGAAACTCGAGCTCTCGTAGTAAATGCACCATATTAACCCTTTCATGCACTTCCATGATGCTTTGAATAAAACGCGAACGTTGTACGTCATAACAATTGCAAACTGGGTTCTAATCCTATCACGTTTTTTTTTACATACTAATTTTTTGTTTCTAAGCGCTCTTCGGTGTAAAATGACTCAAATGATAAGAAGATGCAAAAGGAGTCGTGCTCACCTTGTTTTTATGTGGGTGTCGTCGGGTTGGGGTGTTTTCTGGGCTTTTTGGGTTTTCTGGGCGTTCGGGTCACTTCGTCCACACAGATGTGAGAGTGTTTGCTTTGACACGAGGAGTCTGATGAGTCAAAACATGCATTTGTCATCTCACATCTTTTAAAAAACACAGTGTTAAAACATGTATTGCATCTACCAATCTGAATCATTCATTTTAAGTTAAGAGCATTTCGCACCAAATGCAACTACATTTAAACTTTTTATCTGTGCATGTAAAAGCTCAAATGCATACTAACTTAATGTTGTTGTGCATCATAATGTGTCATAATGTAAAGTTGCATGCAAATGTTTGCGTTCATTTTAAATGGGCATACGTCAAACGTTGGGCTTCTCAAAAATAAGTTAAAATGCATTTAGATAGATAGATAGATAGATAGATAGATAGATAGATAGATAGATAGATAGATAGATAGATAGATAGATGCAAAGTGAAAATTCAGATGCGCTACTCTATATATGGAGTAGCGCAATATTTTGAAAATCCTTAATTATCGTGATTATACGTGCAGAATTCAGATTGATAAATATGATGTGTGTGAGAGAGAGAGAGCGTGAGCGCGCATACCGAGACACGAGGGTCTTTTCCGCGGCTCTCGGGGTGTCTCGGGCGTCTCCTCCGTTACCCGACACTCGTGATTCCCGTTAACATCCACATTATTGTCGTTATTATTCCCAGAGGAGCACATATGAAGATTGGAGCCCTTCCCTCTCTCGGATCTGCTGTAGAAACCGGGAACCGAGCGAATATCCAACGCTTCCCACTGGAATCTGCCGTCGGCGCGCGGCGTGTGCGTGGAGAAGTCGAAGTTCCACGCGTCCGTCGACGCGTCCTCCATCGCCTTCAAATGCCGCTGGAAATCCTTCTTTAACTCTTCATGGTCCACCGGACCGAACAGGTTCCGACACGCCGATGGTTTGGGTTGATCGGACACTCGCGCCTCCATTCGCTCCAGCGTCGGGCTGCCGTTAGACAAGCGAACGTTGGACATTTCGAGGCGAAAACGCAAAGCCAACAGCTGTTATAAAGCGTCAACGCGATCCAAAGCGACGGGCGTTAAGGCTAAACTCGCCCCGGTTGCGCCGCATGAGCGAGAAACACGGACAAGCGACGATCATCAAAACAAAAGCAGGCGTTCTCGATGGCCACTCCTGTCAACTGCGCGTCGTAGTAAAAGAGGGGAAGAGAAATAACAAGGCGAGGCTTTTCTGCGCCCAATATGGCGATGAAGGGGGATAGAGAACGAAAAAAATGCGTGATTGACACAAAGAGCTCTTTAAACCACCAAAGGAACGCCGTGGATTGGTGCCTCAGAGATCCGCCTTCTCTCAACGCACATCCCCCACTCACAGTCCGAGAGAAAGAAGATCAACAAACACCCTAGCCGCCCTAGACGAGCCTCCGAATCGCTTTAATGAAAGAGTCGGTTCGTTCGAATGCTTCGTTTTTGAACCGGCTCACTAAAGGATCCGCGGAATTCGACGCGCGGCATTTTGCTTCAGTGCTCCTAATATCGCTGAGTTTTCGAATAACTTTCTGCTGTTTTTAATAGTTAATGAATGTGTTAACTAGTTCAACAAAAAACTTTACTTGCTTCTAAATTAAGTTTGCCTACAGCCGAGTGATTCATAAATGCTGCGCACATTGATTCGACTGAATCATTTAAAAGGTCCGGTTCAAAACAAGCGATTCATTTGCGAATCACTATCGACCGGCTTATGACGTTGAATGTCAAGTTCTGTAACAGTTAAAAAAAGAACAATGGAATCTTGTGCAAATACTTAATTCACAGTGAAACCGAAAATATAAGTTTGTATAACAGGATTATCAGGAAACTTACGAAATTGTTTCCTTCTTAAATGAATCAAACAATTGTTAAAAGATGTTAAAGGCTGAATTTAAATCTAGTTTCTTGCCTAAACTGTACTGTAAAACTAGTTTAAAAAAAATCTGAGATTGTGAAATGGAGTCACTGCCGATTGCGGTTTTCTCAATATTTTCCTTAATCCTTTGAGGTAAAACCCAATGTTCAAATAAGAATTGGATATATTAAATCTAAAAGGTTTTAATATGGGTTTAAGAAATTATTTTTTAAACTTCATAAGTCTAATACTTCTAATGTGACTTAACAATTTATTCATAGAAACTAATATATGTTTGATTTCATTAACTCTAATGTGTTAGTCACTGGTATCTGAAGGTGATGAGACACTAAAAAAATGGGGAAGTACAACAAAAGATTCACAATAAGTTGTTCCAAGTAGTGAGAAGCTGCAATTGGCAAAACATTTCCAGGAACAATAGTAGATTAGACCTCACAATCATCCTGACAAGAACTGAGACTCACACTCGAGACACGAGGCGTGTCACAAACAGTTTTTAACTAGTCTTTGGCTACCGTTTCTAATCTGACAACTTTACACACGCCTGACGATGACCATCTCATTTTTTGTCAACACACCAAATTTAAGAAAGCTCAGTAAAAATGTTGATTTGTTCCACAGATCAGCTACCAGAGTATTTCTTTAATAACATATCATCTTAAAGATGGGATAGGCAATTTTTGCAGGCTAGCAATAGCGAGCTAGATTTTGTTAGGATATACACTCAGCAGATTATTGTAAAGTGAAAGCACATCAAAAATGAAAGTTTGAAAAAGTTATGGAAGTTTAAAATGTAAATCAAATGCAGTGTACTAAACATTTTTTATTTTATAAAATATGTATTTTACAAAATAATTTTTACCGTAAAATCATTATAAAATCAAAGTCATACATCTACGTAAGTTGTGTTCCAAATTTGAATTTGATATCACAAAAAAGTGAATTGCTTATGCGATTTTGTTTAGGCTCTGTACCAAAAATATAGATTTTTTTATACTTTCAAAATCAATTTCTGTCCAAATATCATTTCAATCACAAAAGTGTCACCAAATATAGAACCTTGACACTCAGACCTTTCCGACGATATGCTTTTTGTCAAGATTAGAAAAGGTTTGAGAATAAATTAACTAAAATAAATTGTAATATGAAACCTGACCACTAGAGGCGCCCGCTAGTATAATTTTAAGTACCGTTATGGTTTTCACAGGATGAATTTTGAGTTCGAAAGCTTTCAAATGATGCCTAATTTATAGTTACTAAAATATGTGATGCAAAAAAAAAGCCAATATATAAAAAGAGCGATAAACAAAACGTTTTCGTGCGTTGGTGCGTAAACTAATATAGTTATTGTTCTTGCTGTGAACGGATTTAATTCTGCTTAAATTTGTATTGATCGCATTTTTATGAATCTATTGTACACCATTTCAGTACTACATGTTGCTTTTAAATGTGCTTTAAAAATAAACCTAATAATTTAAATTTATTTAATATACAACATCATATGGCAACATGTTAGTTTCACCACAGAAGCCGAACTGGAAAAAAAAAAAAAAAACGTTAAAATATCACACTTAATTAAAGAGTTGAACAGAACCCAGTTTTCCAGTATGATTTAAAATCAAGAGCGTATTCACACATCAAAACGTGTAATTTGTCCAAATAAAACAGGCACAAACAAGGAAAAGTCTGTTCTCATGTCTTTGATATATTCCACAGACACTCATATGGGGTTTCTCAACAGCACAATTCAATTCAATGTATAATTTCCAAGTCTTTGATGAGTTTAAACAGATCCTCTAGCGACCACTGCTGGCGAGCGCCGGGATTGCAGGATCGTGTTCGTTCCATACAGGGTCCACAGATGTTGATTTTGAATGAAAAACGGTGTATATCCCGAGTTGGAGATTCACATACTAAGCCACTTTAGGATGTAGAAGTTTCTCTTGCCCACTCGGATCAGGCTGAGTCCACTAGAGAGAATGTGCTGACCCAGAACCAGAACTTGCTCAGGGTTTGCTGCCCTCTGGTGGTTGATCCAAACTCCACCATCCTGGATCATCTGATACCTAGTCAAGAGAATAAACTAGTCAATTAAATGACGCTAAAATGTGTTACTTTTAATCTGAACATTGCAAAACATCATTAGCAAGACTCTGGCGTGTCTCACCCTCGCGGCCCCTCGGGAATGGCCTGTGCGCGTCTGCAGGCGTCTAGCACCGTCGTCCCGGGGTCCAGGAACAGCTCATGGAACGGAGCCTCTCGGAAAAGCTCCTGGAGTTCAGTGTCACTCATCTGCTCCAGCGCCTGAAGACTGCTGTGGTACAGAGCATTGGTGCACCTGTGTGTGTGTGTGTGAGTACATTTATACATATAGGTGAAACTCGAAAAATTAGAATATGGTGCAAAAGTTCGTTTATTTCAGTAATTGAACTTAAAAGGTGAAACTAATATATTATATAGACTCATTACATGCAAAGTGAGATATTTCAGGCCTTTATTTGTTATAATTGTGATGATTATGGCTAACAGCTTATGAAACCCCCAAATTCAAAATTAGAGTATTGGGAAAAGGTTTTCATATCTGTAATCCACAATCATCAAAACTATAACAAATAAAGGCTTGAAATATCTCACTTTGCATGTAATGAGTCTATATAATATATTAGTTTCATCTTTTAAGTTCAACTACTGAAATAAATGAACTTTTCGTGACTGTGACGTCACACGCATCCCCTCAATAAAGTAAATAGGCTTGATTGTGATATGACTTCAGAAGTGAGTGTCTGCTCTTGCCTTTTAGCACTTTCTAAGCCCTCTTTCCCGTGGACGAGCTTGGTGACCTCAGCGGCCAGGCGTTTGTGTGCGGTCCGCTTGCCCGGGTCGTGTCTCTGCTGCTCCATCACCTTCTCCACCTCAGCCAGTGGCAGGAACGTGAAGAACTTCAGGTACCTGGAGGATAACAAGCGTTTCTGTCACGCTCAGGGAGCTAAATAGACATTACTTTACGGGTGCAATATAAAAATGCAACAATGTGTATCGAGACAGTGTGTGTTGTGTATAATTCACCCAAAACTTTTCAGAGTTTTAGAGTCAGTCCTACATTAAAGGTGCATTGCACAAGTCTCTGAGTTTTTTGCAGAACTACGCCCCCTCTGGCGACAAGCGAAACTGCAACCAGAAGTGTGCATGCTCATGGACCACTCACTAGGGTAAATCGGACCGTTAATCACGATACGATACGATTTCGATTCTCTCAGCCAGCGATACGATATTTGCCGATACCTCAAAAAATTCTACGATAAGATACGATTCAGGGCTATATCGATCGATTAGTCGATATTTAGATATTATGTGCCAAGTGTACACCACCAGTTACATTTATTAACTCGCAGTACATCCAAAAATATTACAGGAAAGTTGAATTCACATATTACATTATGAATATAGCTATTATTATCAAAATACCTGGCAGACCTCAAAGAGCACAGGTAAATCAAATATCATTGCAATCATGTTTATTGCCTTTCTAAGCATGTTACAGCGATCTCTGTTAGCTTTGTTGCTGTCAGGCACTTCCTGAAATGTCACATGATTATGGCTCTTCTTCATGTTTAACTACCATGTATAGAATATTATGTGCAGATGTTTAACGGTAGGCGTGGCCTCCTAGGGCAGCGAAGCAAGTGCATTCTGGGAGTTGTTGTCTTTCATCCACATTAGCCAAAAATACATTTTCTGGCTTTTCAAATTCAAAAATAAATCTACATAAATGACCCATTTTATATACAGTAGACATCCATCTTTCCAGAGGTGAAGTATCCCTTTAATTACAAATGTAATTACATTAATGATGTAATGCATGCAGGTATTTTCAAATACAGGTACAATGTAAAGACAAAGTCCATTGTATCTAATATTTATTTTCACTTAATATAAAGTGCAACCGCAGGATTATTGTGTGTACTTTTCCTTAATAGTGAATCATCCCGAAAGTGACGTGACGCTTGTGTTTGCAGACTCACGCTTCGACGCTGCTATCGGGCAGCCGCAGGAAGTACTGGTAGAACTCAAACGGGGATGTTTTATCGGGGTTGAGCCACACAGCGTTGCCGGCCGTCTTGCCCAGTTTATCTCCCATCGAGGTCGTGACGAGAGGAACCGTCAGGCCGAACACTTCCTCTCCTGTCTTTCTGCACAAGAACAAAACATCTTACACATCAGAGGCTCGGCTGTATCATGACGGTTGTATAAATAAGATTAACAACTACGTGTTTTATTTTATGCCACTCTTACTTATTTGTATTAAAATGAAGCAAATGATAGCTACCATCGAGAAAATATTACCAATACTAGAAGTCTTATTTTTAACACACACACATACATTTTATATATATATAATCACTGTACTTGTGTGTGAGCTCGTGTACCTGTGTATAAGCTCATGTCCGCTCATGATGTTCCCGAGCTGGTCGGTTCCTCCGATCTGGATCCTGCAGCCGTGGATCTGATGCAGACGGTAGAAGTCGAAGGCCTGGAAGAGCTGGTAGGAGAACTCGCTGAAGCTCATGCCCTCGGCGCTCTTCAGGCGAGACTGCACGCTGTGTCTGCTGAGCATCGAGCCCATCCGAAAACACCGGCCGACCTCCGAGAAAAAGTCCAGCACCTGCCAGGAGGATGCAGAAACCAAGCTCTTCTCTGAGTGTGTCGGGAAAGGATTCAAAGCATCAGCAAATGGTTTTATAATAACAAAATAAAAAATATTTATTTTCATAAACAAAAAGAAAAGAGGGAAAATACTAATTATAATAATGTAAAGTAAATAATGTTCTAATTATTTTATGGTTTATATGGCAGAATATATGATGTGCTCAAGTTTTTAAATATCCATTAATAAACAACTTTGGGTTCAGATTTCAGCTTCGTCAGTAAGGATGTTTCTAATAAAATAAAGAGCTAGATGATATATTAAACTTTTTTTTTTTTTTTTTTTTTGTATGATGGGTAAATACCATATTCACAAAGTCATCACTTTGCACAAGCTTTGAATACATCCTGTATTAAGGTTTATGTAAATTGTATTTTTTAATTATTATTATTATTTATTTTACATTTCTCTGTTTGCCCCACATGTCCATTGATCAGTATTATTTCCTTTTGCACTGACTTTTGATTAAGCAATAAATAAAAAAAGCATCTCTACCTGCCAGTCCTTGTACCAGCTGCGGTTATTGAGCACCGTCAGCCGGCCTAGTCTACTCGGGTCCGGGGAAAAGTGCAGCTCGTGGTGGGTGAAGATCCGGTGGAGGCTCTCCATGATCCCGCGGGCGTTCTGCTCCACCGTGGCCGGGGAGAGGCGCTCTCTCTCGGCAGACCTCCCGCTCGGATCCCCGATCTGCGCCGTGGCTCCACCGAGCACCGCGATAACCTCATGCCCCGCGGCTCGGAAGTGCATCAGGGCGATGATGGCGAGCAGGTTCCCGGCGTGCAGGCTGTCCGCGGTCGGGTCGAAACCACAGTACACGGTCTGAGGACCAGACTGGAGCAGATCCGGGAGCTCGGATTGAGCTGCATACTCGGGGAACGACTCCTTCAGGAGGCCTCGGTTATGCAGGGAGAAGAGGAGGCCGCTTTTTGTAGACGAAGAACGGTGGAGTAAAGCCCTTGAATACGATGATTTTGTTAATAGGATATATGATTTAACTGTAGACACGATGCGGCATGACCGCGCAATGGACGCAGCCATGTTTTTTTGTTGTTGTTAATGGACACGGTCGACTCGCCACCTAGTGGCCAAAGGAACAGTTCACCCAAAATATAAAAATTCAGTCATTTACGCAGTTCCAAATCTGTTTAAATGTCTTTCTTTTGTTGAACACAAATAAAATATTTTAAAGAATGTCAGTAGCCAAACAGTTGATGGGCCTCATTGACTTATAATAGTATTTTTCCATATACTATCTCTTCAACTGTTTCTATAGTATCCAGGGGTGCATTATGGGTAATTTTTTATTCAGAGTTGATTTATGTGTTATTGCAGTAAGAACTTTTAAGTTTTTGTGATAGTAAAGTTATGTGTGTTAATGTTCAAGTTAGATCAGATGTTCTTGGTTCATTTACTGCTAAATGTAAAATGTGTCTCTCACCGTCATGGAGAGAGATGTGTAAGGCAATAGGCCCTTGCCTAAGTGTTTCATGGTGGATCCATTGCCCGTTTGCGGGAAAGTCAGCGGTGCAGCTTCATGTTTATCGTATTAAGCTAATGCTCCGCTTGAGGGAAGAAACACTCTGGGTCGTGCGGTGTATGGGACACGAGTGTTCTGACCTTATGTTTGGAATTAGCCTAGTAAAAGTGTTATTAGCATAGTTTATACCATTATAAATATTTCAATATCTCAGGTCTGGAAGTGTCTAGAGCCTCCATTTTGGCACTCAGGTCTAAGTCCCATGGCCCTCTATCAGAATCCAGAGTTTGAAGAAAATTGGAGAAACTTATTTTTTCGCACAAAAAAAAACAAAAAACGAAAGGGGTACCACTGTCGTTTTTTTGTTTTGTTTTTTGGTGCGAAAAAAATAAGTTTCTCCAATCTTCTTGAAACTCTGGATTTTGATAGAGGGCTGTGAGACTTTGACGTGAGTGCAAAAATGGAGGCTCTAGACCATTCCAGAGCTGAGATAATGAGATATTTGTAATGGCATAAATGCTACGTGGGATCTCAATATATCAGCTCTGGAAGGGTCTACAGCCTCCATTTTGGCACTCAGGTCTAAGTCTCATGGCCCTCTATCAGAATCCAGAGTTTCAAGAAGATTGGAGAAACTTATTTTTTCGCACAAAAAAAAAAAACGAAAGGGGTACCACTGTCGTTTTTTTTTTTGTGTGCGAAAAATAAGTTTCTCCAATCTTCTTGAAACTCTGGATTCTTATAGAGGGTCATGGCACTTAGACCTGAGTGCAAAAATGGAGGCTCTAGACCCTTCCAGAGCTGAGATATTAATAATGGCATAAATGCTATGGGATCTCAATATCTCAGCTAGAGCCTCCATTTTGGCACTCAGGTTTATGTCCCATGGCCCTCTATAAGAATCCAGAGTTTCAAGAAGATTGGAGAAACTAATTTTTTTGCACCAACAAAAAAAACCGACAGTGGTACCCCTTTCGTTTTTTTGTTGTTGTTTTTTTTGTGCGAAAAATTAAGTTTCTCCAATCTTCTCAAAACTCTGGATTCTGATAGAGGGCCGTGAGACTTAGACTTGAGTGCCAAAATGGAGGCTCTAGACCCTTCCAGAGCTGATATGTTGAGATCCCACGTAGCATTTTGGACTTGGACTTGAGTGGACTTGAGTGCCAAAATGGAGGCTCTAGACCTTTCCAGAATCCAGAGTTTTCCAGAGCTGAGATATTGAGATATTTGTAATGGCAGAAATGCTACGTGGGATCTCAATATTTCAGCTCTGGAAGGGTCTAGAGCCTCCATTTTGGCACTCAGGTCTAAGTCCCATGGCCCTCTATCAGAATCCAGAGTTTTAAGAAGATTGGAGAAACTTTTATTTTTTCGCACAAAAAAAAACAAAAACGAAAGGGGTACCACTGTCGTTTTGGTTTTTTTGGTGCGAAAAAAATAAGTTTCTCCAATCTTCTTGAAACTCTGCATTTTGATAGAGGGCCATTTGACTTAGACCTAAGTGCAAATATGGAGGCTCTAGACCCTTCAAGAGCTGGGATAATGAGATTTATAATGGCATAAATGCTACATGGGATCTCAATATCTCAGCTCTGGAAGGGTATAGACCCTCCATTTTGGCACTAAGTCTAAGTCTCATGGCCCTCTATCAGAATCCAGAGTTTCAAGAAGATTGGAGAAACGTATTTTTTCGCACAAAAAAAAAAACGAAAGGGGTACCACTGTCGGTTTTTTTTTTTTTTTTTTTTTTTTTTTTTTTGGTGCGAAAAATAAGTTTCTCCAATCTTCTTGAAACTCTGGATTCTGATAGAGGGCCATTGGACTTACACCTGAGTGCAAAAATGGAGGCTCTAGATAGTGATGTTACGTCTGACACAGATGTTCCGAAGCTTGCTTCAAACTTGAAAGGTCCTTGTAATGAACCATTGCTTCGGAGCTTGTATCATTACATCACTAGTCACGTGAAAATGACGTCTGAAGCAAACACACTGGTTCACTCCGTTGTGAACCGCCTGACTGCTTTGACAGTCCGATCCAGTGTTGACGGGTTTGATACCTGGCGGCTGTATTTCTTATAAAAGGGAAGCCAAACCATAGCAACACTGTGGGTTAGTAGTAGTACTACTCAGTGTTTGGATTGGTGTTGTTATTGAGAGTGGAGTGAGTTTATTTTAATGTTGTGATGGATCCATCGAGAAAGTCGTTCGCAAGGGAACACTTTAAACTTATTTTCCTGAATAAGATTAGTTCTTTGACATTTCTGCATACAAATATTTTTCATATCTAGTGAATGATATGGAGAAAGACAAAAACTTTAAAAACCCTCTGCTACATTATTCAAGTTCAACCAGTTACACAGGCACATCCTTTAAACTTACAAAAATATCTGTCCCACCAGTAAAGTTACAGAGTTCTGGTGGTTCCCATAGGAAAGAAGCAGTAGCTAATAATGTCATGGTTTAAATGGTAAAAGAAAATTGTTCCTTATTGGTATTTTAGTTTGAAACCATTAGAATTTCTGTGATGGTTTCCAACTTTTTTTTAAGCTGGTCTGATCTTCTGTCCTTGTCTAAAGAAATAATTACACACACACACACATCATCCTTATTGTTTTATTATCAAGGTGAACACATGAAATTCATCCGTATCTGTACAACCTACATGAGTTTCACAGCACTAACACTGTTTCAGCTTTGATCGCTTCGGTAAACTCAGCTTAAAACGGGCGTTAACACACGCCTACTTGTATTTTATGGTTGTCAGCTTTGTTGCATTACATTTACTTCAACAGGAGATGGTGCTGCCATTTCTATCTGAATGAAGCTTCGCGTAATGAACCATTTTCGACACAATAGTATCAGAAAGCAATGATGCTTCAAAACGATTCATTTGGCCATCACTAGCTCTAGACCCTTCCAGAGCTGATATATTGAGATATTTATAATGGCATAAATGCTACGTGGGATCTCAATATCTCACCTCTGGAAGGGTCTAGAGCCTCCATTTTTGCACTCATGTCAAAGTCTCACAGCCCTCTATCAGAATCCAGAGTTTTGAGAAGATTGGAGAAACTTAATTTTTCGCCCAAAAATGGAAAAAAACGAAAGGGGTAACACTGTCGTTTTTTTTTCGGGTCGAAATTTTTAATTTTGATATCTCAGCTCTGGAAGGGTCTAGAGCCTCCATTTTTGCACTCACGTCAAAGTCTCACAGCCCTCTATCAGAATCCAGAGTTTTGAGAAGATTGGAGAAACTTAATTTTTCGCCCAAAAATGGAAAAAAACGAAAGGGGTAACACTGTCGTTTTTTTTTCGGGTCGAAATTTTTAATTTTGATATCTCAGCTCTGGAAGGGTCTAGAGCCTCCATTTTTGCACTCACGTCAAAGTCTCACAGCCCTCTATCAGAATCCAGAGTTTTGAGAAGATTGGAGAAACTTAATTTTTCGCCCAAAAATGGAAAAAAACGAAAGGGGTAACACTGTCGTTTTTTTTTCGGGTCGAAATTTTGAATTTCGATATCTCAGCTCTGGAAGGGTCTAGAGCCTCCATTTTTGCACTCACGTCAAAGTCTCACAGCCCTCTATCAGAATCCAGAGTTTTGAGAAGATTGGAGAAACTTAATTTTTCGCCCAAAAATGGAAAAAAACGAAAGGGGTAACACTGTCGTTTTTTTTTCGGGTCGAAATTTTGAATTTCGATATCTCAGCTCTGGAAGGGTCTAGAGCCTCCATTT